AAAAAAAAAAAAAAAAAAAAAAAAAGGAGCAGTGAGAGAGGTATCACTTACAGAAGCCCGGACAGCAAAGCTCCGTCTGGAACGAGCGCCACGGGTGGAGGAGAATGAACGAGGAGCAGAAGACTGGAAGGATTTTCGAAGGCCGACGAAAGATTTGGGAAGTGCTAGGGTTCGGGAGAAAGAGGCGGAAGCAATGGGAGCAGTGGACTTGGTCGGAAAGGCGGAAGGATTGGAGGAGATAAGGGCAGAGGAAGCGGCGGAGCAAGCCATGAGGGAGGATGAGAAAGGGGGAATCTGCAGCACAAAGTCAGTCTGAGGCGCAGAAATGGAGAGTAGGGGATAACTTTAACCGCTAAACCTCCACACGCTTGTGGGGGGCAATCTCTGGGAATATCTGTTGTTCTACCGTCCAGAGAATAGAGAAGACAAAGGGTAATATGGTAATTGCGTATCTACTTTTGGGCTTACTTGGATACTACTGTTTCTCGGCCCATTTAGAAGCTCGTGGATGTTAGGCCCATATCCCAATTTCTCTAGTTCATTAAACTATTTTCCATTTTTAAATTACAATAAAATTGATAACAAAAAGGAGGATAAGTATGTTGCGAATAAAAAGAGAATAAATTGAATATAAAAAAAGATGGACAAAAGGGCCACGGAATAAAGTATAAGAATGGGGAATCATTTAGGCATGTTAGAAAATATTTCCAATTTTTAAAACACCGATATTTGGCATCTAAATCAAGGGGCGTGAATGTATCAAATGACTAACCAAATTTGCTCGAGAAAAGAATTATTATCCGGAAAGTGGCTTACCAATTTGATGTTTCTGAGTCATTCTTTGAATCTAACATTAATCATTCGTATCATCAAGACCTTATCCTAATAACATGTTTAGAAAAGAATTAAATTTTGATTACGGTGTTTGGACTTTTCACATATACGTTATTATCAATGAAGTTTTGAAGTTCAGGAACCGATCCTCCCGGTTGAGTTAGTAATGAGATGTGAAGAGTAAATGTAGTGGGGATATGGAAAGGGACAAAATGGGAACTGGGATGGGATCCATGAGTCATACAAGGAGTGGCATTCGGAGAGCCACAAACAAAAGAATCCCAAAATTAAAGCAGGGCAGCTGGGGGAATGGGATCGTTCATAGACATCGTTGGTTAGGGCCACAAAATGAAATGACTCTGTTTTCCATTCCAGTCACAACCCAGGCATGCCCCACGTGGGGTGCACCCATGGAACCACGTTTTTTTTCTTAATGCAAATTTGTTATTGTGAGGGTCCCCACATCGATTGAAACATTTCTTGTAAGAGCGTGGAAATCTCTCCATAGGAGATGTATTTTAAAACCTTAAAGGGATCTTTTTAACGGAAACCATAAAGAGGACAATATTTTGTGAGTTTGGGCTGTTACATATTAATGTTACTAATAACCTAAACTCACTGTTAGTAGATATTGTCCTACTTGGCTCGTTACATATCGTCATTAGTCTCATAATTTTAACACGCATTTACTACAGAGAGATTTCCATACTATTACAAAAAAAAAATGTTTCGTTCCCCTCTCTAATAATGGATGTGAGATTTATAATGTTTAACTTAATTATACGAGTACATGGGTCTTTTAAAAATTAATAATGCAAAAGAAATTGAATGGATTGTGATATGATGTTATTTAACCTAATAGATTCATCTTATATAATTTAACATAATTACAAACCACTCCTTTATATACTGAAATACATTGATATGACATCTGATTCAAAAGTCAAAAAAGAAAAGAAAAAAAAAGTATTTATTATTGAATATGAAGTATGCTTTGGTTAATGTCACCCTATCATATTCACATACAATCAAGTTAAACCACATATTT